GAACCTCCGGACATTCTGAGATCGTTAGTTCCAGAAACCTGGGCTGTCAGACGGTTGAGACTGGGGGCCTTCGGGTCCCCTCTCCTTCACGCGCTCCTGTCCCAGCCCTGGCTTTGGGGGACAGAGATCTCAGAGCCGGTGGGGGGGAGGGGGCAGCGCCTCCGACCCTCCCCAGCAGGCTGGGCCAAGTCGCCCCCGGTTCAGCATCCTAGGTAGAGATGCGAACCCTCCCTCCGGCCACTTCTTGTAAGGACAGACATCAGAGAAGCCCCGTGCCGACGTGGCTCGGGGTTTGTTCCAGTCAAAGGTGCACCTTTACCCTGGTGAAGAGACACTAGTATGTTACAGACCCGAGTGGCCCCTTCCAGGGGGACACTTGTTCCAGGCATGGCCTTGCGTCCTGGAGCCTTGGAACTGGGCCGTGTCCCCTGGGTGGGACCGACTGGTAGGGGGGAGGGGGGAAGGGAGGGTTAAAGTCCCAACTGCTCCTGGGTTCCCATGTCAGGGATGTTAGGAGGTGACCAAAAGAATTTTTATAAAGTGCTTTCAGTACCTCGATACTACACCTTTAAAGCTTTCATAATTAGGCTTTTTTCCTTGTACTCAGAGCATTGAGCAGCGCCAGAACATAAAAAAGTAAAAACGGAAAACACCACCCTTTGCTTCAGAAGCTAGTAGCTTCTCTGGGAAAGAACAGCCGTGACAGCCACCCCCAGTGCTCAGCAGTGACTGCAGGGCTCGCAGCACACTTGGGCCGGGGCACCGGGGGGGGGGGGGGGGGGGGGGTTGCGCAGGCAGGAGGCTCTGCTTAGACTACAGGGAAAGAAAAGGGAGGCAGCTGAGACATAATAAAATGATTTTTTAAAATAGAAGAATAAAATGAGAGTGATCAGCACACAGAAGGGATTCCAAGTCAGGATCTGACTTGTGATGGGAAAGAGTTAAGTAAGGATAAAGATCGGGAAGGACAGAAAATGGGGTTCACCTTTGGGGAACAGGAGGGGATTCTTGGGCCTTGGGATGAATGGGACAAAGAGGAGGGACCGGCCGGCTGCCTGGGCGCACCAGGCCTCTCGGCTCCCGCATTCTATGCCCCGTGTCCCCAGTGACTCATTTGTTTATTATGGCGGCACATTGGCCAAATGACAGGTTCCAGAGAGGAGAACAAAAGTGATTCAGGCAATCATGAAAGAAACCATGGACTTGGAGGTCCTAGAACCTTCTCCGTGTTCCTCCTTCATCTATAAAATAAGCCCAGTGAAACCCGCCCGGGACTTCGCAGGAGGGTTTGGAGAAAGAACGAATGAGTGCGTTGCTCACATCATTTAAAAAACATGAGCCTCTGTAACTGTTCAGAGCACTAGCGGTCTGACAGGAACAAGGAACCAGGAGTGTTTCCCTTCTGTCAAAACTGTAGCACTTGCCTGGTGATGAGGTAACTCTTTGGGAGCATATTTTAGAAGTTCTATACATATTTCGAAGGTCTAAGAAGCCGTATCTGAAGTTTAATGAGAAAGATACTTTGGAGAAGACTGAATTGGCCAAAAGTCAGGGGGGGAGGGGATCGCCCCCACTGTGACCCTGCCACGGGGTCATACCCAGCATCTCTGGAAAGAAGCTCCTTCACTGGACCTGTCTGACCCCCCCTTTTCTGCATCACCCCTCCGCAGCTGCCTTACCTCAAAGCCAGAGAAGCTCAACGCCGTCGAGTGAAATTGGAGTGACGCCCCCAAGCAGTCCCCACCACATCCTAACCTGGCAGACTGGGTGAGTCCCCTGTTCAGACCTTCTGCCCCCTTCTTCCAGCCTCTAGAATGATCAGCTTTCCTCATCAGTTAGGAAGGATGTCCTAAACACAAGATCCTCGTTGACAGAAGGGTGTACCCACCAAAAACGTGAGCGTTTGTTCCTGGGAAACCCCTTCCTTCCCAAAGCAGCTGCGTGAATGCTGTTACCTCCCACCTGGCTCCTTTCCGTCCCTGTCCGTGTAGACGGGCCAGTTCTCTGGGCTCTCTTTTCACCCTGGCGGTGGTCCCAGGAACGTGGGGAAGGTGGGTGCCGGAAGTCAAACGGCACTCCTTTGGGCAGAATTCCACGCGGCGTTTGATTTGTGTTCAGATTCTATCAGGCGGACTTCAGGGTGCGGGGCAGGAAGGGGAGAGGGGACTTGAGCTACTCTTGCTTCTCGCCCTGCCCCCACCTTAGAATCAGGACGCATCTGAAGGAAAAGGGCCTGAGGCTCCGAGCCCTTCTCTGTCCTGGCTCCAGCTGCTTGCTCTTAACCCACAAACCAAGGGGATCAGGTGCAGGTTCCCTGAGATCTTTAAGAAGGGACGCACAGCAAAGTAATGAAACCAAAATTCCGTTCCTTTTATAGCTGCCAGCATAGGCATAGAGCGTTCTAGTCTCGTGGACGGTTAGACGTTCTGACCCCTGACGTCCAGCAGATACACGTACATCGCTTTCCTCACGATCCCTGCCTCTTCTGTTGGTCCTCACACGTCCCCTCGGACTGGCTGTTAGGTTCTGTCCGCGCCCGCTGGGTCAAGGGGTGAGGGATCCCTTGATCGGGCTCTCTTCAGTTTCTAGTTTGCTGGAGGGCCCGTGGGGAAGCCTGGAAAAAGTTGACGGCCGTCTGGGAGTTGAATCATAGGACAGCAACAGGACCAGAATGGGCTCCACTGGCTGCATTCGGGCTCCCGTGCCTGGCAGACGTTTTTGTCTCTGTAAATTTCTCCGGGGTGACTTTATTTTTTTTATTTTTTTATTTTTTTTAATTTTTTTTTTTTCAACGTTTATTTATTTTTGGGACAGAGAGAGACAGAGCATGAACGGGGGAGGGGCAGAGAGAGAGGGAGACACAGAATCAGAAACAGGCTCCAGGCTCTGAGCCATCAGCCCAGAGCCCGATGCGGGGCTCGAACTCACGGACCGCAAGATCGTGACCTGGCTGAAGTCGGACGCTTAACCGACTGCGCCACCCAGGCGCCCCTCTCCGGGGTGACTTTAAACCAGGCTTTACGGGGCCTTAGTATTGGACAGAAGGGAAAGGGGAGCTGATGTGTGTTGAGTGCCTGCAGTGTACTCAAAGGCTGGGAGCTTTTTCTGACATTTATAAGTTTCATACATTCTTCGCTGCAACCTTGCGAGGGAAAGAGCCGACCTCTTAGTTGTATTGATGAGGCTTAGAGAGAGTAGGTGCTCTGCCCGGAGTCCCACAGCTGAACGAAACTGCGTTCTCTGGCCTCCGGAGTCCTGTCCTCTTCCACCGGCTGGTGGTTCTGAGAGAGCTGCCCTCGGACCAGCAGCTTTGGGATCTTGTTACAAATGCAGACGCTCCGGCCCATCCGTGACTCACTAAATGAGACAAGAGGGGAGGGGTGGGGTGGGCAGGGCAGTGTGTTTTAACAAGGCCTCCAGGGGATTCTGATGTCTGCTCAAGTCTGACTCCCTCAACTATAGCCCATGATGCCTCTTCCTCCTTTTGAGTCAGGAGAACCCATAGTCCCAACCACAGTGATCTGTGTCCACTCCCATTTCTTGGTCTTTGGGGCGGCAGCCACCCTCTCCGTCCTTATTACAGGTTGCTATGACCCTCCCTCCCATACCATCCACGGGTCAGGTCCATCACACGTGGTCGGGCAGCTACTGCAAGGCCTCAGGCCCGAGAGTGGCACGGAGATTAAATTCACAGGAGAAAGTACGCCAGACCTTGTGTATCTTGGTATCTCCAGTGGCCCAGCCATTTCACCCAAATAAGGAACTTCCCATTTCAGGGTCTTTGTCGGGATGGTCCACATTTTCTGAATCCTGCCCAGTCTCCTCTAATCTGATTATATGACTGTTATTTGCAGGAGGGCAGGCCTGAAAGGAGTGAACGCCCTTGAGCTGGCCTTGAAACCCGCCTGTGTTCCACCACAAAGAGCTAGTGAGGAGGCTGGGCAAATTGGAAACCAAGCTGTTTGGGTCCTTGAAGTAAACGTTTATCAGATTGAGGAGGTGTTCTCTGTGACACGATAGGAAAAGGAGAAATGGGTACAAAGTGCCAAAGCCCGCCTTCCAAACAAAACCAAAGAGGAGGCCTTTGAGTCACTCTTGGGTCTTGAAAGTTCTGCTTGAATTCTGTTATTTGTCACTAACGCTTGGGTGTATAGTCGACTGATCTTTGCAATGTATTAATAAGCTACTAATCATGTCTGTGTCAGTTCCTCTCTTTAACATGACCTCTCTTCTCTTCCTTCTTCTGCTTTCCTTTGTTCAGAGAAGCAACAGAAAACTCACCCATTATGGATGGGTCTGAGTCTCCAACTCACCAAAGCACTGATGACTAGAGGTATTGTAAGGGGGTGTTCGGTTCTCTCCGCCCTCTCCCTCTCCCCCCCCCCCCCCC